ATTCAGGGAGACCAGGGAAGCCCAAGGAAAGGGAGGGAGGGAGGGAGGGAGGGAGGGGTGCAGGAGTTTAGGGGATAAAGCAGGGCTTCAAGGGGCTCAGGGTATAATGTTGTTGGGTTCAGTGTGTTTTGGTGTTTGGTTGCTGAAAACGGGGCGAAGCAGAGCCCAAGGCGGGGGGCACAGCATTAGAGGACAGGATGGCGACTGAGCGATGTAGGGGACCACTTAGCATGCGCTACTACAGATAACAGCTTTTATCTAACGTAGTACAGTGTAAGGCCATATAACACGATACAACATGAGATAAAAGTATGTCTTACTATGCTAGACAGCGTGAATTAACGAAGTATTTTCGCCTCAAGATCCGAAATCCCACGTCGCCTCCGCAGTTGCAGGTGAACAGCCAGCTCTCGACATGGCACGGCATTGAAGAGGAGATGAAGGGTCGAAAGAGGCTCGTGCCTGTGGGGCCATGGGGTTTAGGGTTCGGGCGTTGTCAGTCTAGGGTTTAGAAACCGCGTAGTCCAGGTGTGGAAGGGTTTAGGTTTCGGAGTGGGGTGACACCACTGCATCGTGCAGCAGTCGCGTGCCTTGACCAAAGAAACCTTCACCAGCATTACGTTAAAGCAGTTTTTTGAAATGGAGAGGGTTCTACTGGATTTAAGGACTTGGGAACTGGGCTGTCTTGAGCCCTCTTGCAACAAAGTGATTCACCGGAAGGGGTAGAGATGTCATGCCTGGGAGTTTAGGGTTTTAGTTCAGGGTAAGGGTTTCAATGCTTACGGTTCATTTTTTAGGGTCTAGGGGTTTGGGGCCAACTTTGCACCCTGAAGCCCTCAGACAGGGCATTCCAGCTGCTGCAGCTCATGAACAACACTCCGTCTTTGCCGAACTCTGTCCACCCGCCGAGTTTGGCACAACGGTTTGGGGTTGATTGCCGTCGTCAGTCTTATTATTCATGGTGCACCCGCTGTGAGGCATGAAGTCATGAAGGCCTGACATGTGGCCTCGTGAGGCTTTGTGTGCCATTCCGGGCCGTGTCAACTTGCGATAGGTTCGAAATTCCTGAACCCTGTAAGCTTCTCCCGGACCTCGAACCATCTGCCTCGCCAGAATTGTCCGACTATGAGCGCCGAAACTGGAAGCTTATCCATTTGAAGCTGTGCACATGGTAGCAGGTTTCTTCGGCCGGCTCGGCCGTTCGATTTCTTAGATGTTCCATGGCTTCAGAAGTCATCACCTGTTACCTGAATAGGATGCCAGCGACAGTTGCCACCAATTAAGACGGTAGTTGCAATGCCACGTGGCGCCACAAAGCTGATAGTATACTTGTCAGGTTTTGTTTTGCACTGGGACTGTTTGGTTGGCAGTTGGACCGCCGAGTTTGTGCTGTCACGTTGGACGGTTGGAAGTGGCCAACCTTTACTCAGAAAAGGGTTGTCGAACTGGTAGCAGGTGGCACACACACCGTGACCAACAATCAGCTGTGGCAGGTGCCAGGAAAGCTCACGCCGCCGCATACTCAGGTCCCACGGCATGTTTCTGCAACAAGACTTGACTCGTGCCTAAGGCGCAACTGTTTTGGTCCGGAGACTTCCTTGCTGGTGATGCCAGCAACCGTCTGGCAGACCACGAACAGGCCGAGAGCAGTACTTACCTGCTCGATCGAAAAATGTATTACGTGGGGTGGAAGACATGCCCAGGCATGTGCACCGGCGCTTTAGGGCTGAGAAGTGTGACTTCCGACAGTTATGACATCACCTCAATGTGGCGGTTTCGCCTGGTTCGAGCATTGAGCATTCCTGTGAGGCGCTTCTTCCCGCCATGAGCAGCATGTGGCATGCTGCTGCAAGCTCAGAGTGGAAAGAGTTTTTCCACTGCCGGTGCATCATCGAACAGGGTAGTTTCGGAAATGTGGGCTCAATGGCAGCCGCCCGGGCAAAGAGTCTGCCGAATGGTCGTTTCCAGACCACTACAAAACCAAGGCTACATGAAGGCCAGAACCCTGATTTCATTTTATTGCGATGCTCGTGTGAGAATGTCAAACTTCGAGAGGAGGGGCATGCAAGTAGGCAGGTGCGTCGGGCTTTGGTGGTTTAGGGCTCGTTGCAAGCGGATGGCCGACATCCTTCCCACCCCGGTTGCTGAAGAGTAGTTTCTGCTTCTGCTTATTTCGTCAAACTTCCGACCATTTTCTCAACACCAAGCCATCACCCTAAGCCACCAAGCCACAATGCTAAGCCTGACTCATCACTGATGCGGGCTCAGTTCTAGCCAGGCCATAAGCAAAAGAAACCAGAAACCCGCCAGAACTCAACGACCTTTGCTCAGGTCCCTGCAGCGAACATCGCCGGCAATGGGCAGTGATTCCAATCGTTCCGCAAGAGGGGGTTGTTCGAAGCTGTTTAGGGTTTAGGCTTGTTCTACACAGTGCTCCCTTAGGTTACCTGTTTTTGTTCGATAGTGCTCTTTAGTGCAAGCTAGGCTTTCTACTGCAGTTATCTTGTGCATCTCGGCCTAGCCAGCTGCCAGCTTCGTAGTTTGTGTACGCACAAGATCGCCGAGAGTATGGGTAATGTGGTAACCTGATTAAGAAACCTTGGGCCTACAGCCCCAAAACAGTACTACTAATACTACTAATACTGCTGGTACTATTAATACTAATTACTAACACTAATAATATAGCTTCATATAAGGAACCCTAGTAAAGGCCCGAGGTTCCCACATGAGTCTCTCCTGCGAGAACGGTCCCGCTAAGGTACCTACAGAAGTCGAGCGTTGAAGGTTGGGGCTCTCCGAAGGAGTCCTTCTTGCTTCCTGATAGTAAGGTTAGGGTTTAGGGTTTAGGGTTTAGGGTTCTAGCCTAAGGGGTGATGATGAAGCTTAATGTAATTGTTAATTATAAGTTTAGCCTATCGGCAGGACGCCCTGAGTCAAACTTAGAAGATGCGCTTAGGCTTTGTGTTTTCGTGTTTAGAGTTGATTTTTTGTGCACTGAGGGTTTAGTGTCTGGAATCCAGGTGTAAACAATCCAACGAGCCTTGGTTGGGCTTAACGCTTCTGTTTGGGTTTTCGGGCTTGGTGAATGCCCTGAACGCTAAATCCAAGGCGCATGAGTGGCAATCAGCTGCTTGCAGCTTGTCCTGGGACACTTGCGTGAGGGGCCGGTTGCCTTTGGGAAATCAACGCACTGGCAATGTCACAGGGGATACAAAGATCTTTGATAGCAACAGCAGCCAGACTTTCAAACGGTAGTTAATCGGCTTCAATGACAGACACGACTGTGCAGAAGCCATGGGAGGCCATTATGTAGACTGCGTTGGCAACCGGCACCGACTGGAGACAATTACTGACGCCCTGTCCGAACACTGGTTCGGGGCCGAGCTGGAGAAAAACTTGAAGCCGAACCCTCTTTATGCAGAACTACTGCCTGTCCCCAAGAGAACAGGCCATTCGAGTTAACCTCCCTACCTCCTCACCCCATCTCCCCCCGACGCTCTTGGATGGACTTAGAGACTGAGAGTTCAGGATAAGACCTATGCCACTATGCACCTAATAATTGCCCCCTGAACCCTAAACTGTACTCGTAACCCTAAACCCTAAACCCTAAACCGCCTCAGCTTTGTGCAGGTGCCGCCCATGTATTCGGCCCTGAAGGCCGGATCCCTGAGACGGGCTTCCAGAGCTCCCTGCTTCAAATTCTCCTATTGCTACAGATGGGAGTTTCCGAAAATTACGGGACCCCAATATAGGACCCTAAATAGTAGGATCTTTACTATCTATAAGGACCCTAAAATGAGGTACCCCTATTTCGGAAACGCCCAAATTAATTTACAACAACCGACAATGCACGCCCTTGGGTTTAGGGTTCAGGGCTTGTAAAGAGCATGCACACCCCCCGATTCGTAAACCGCTTCAACCGTACAAGGGTTATAGCTATAGTAGGATGCTATCCCCAAAACCCTAAACCCTAAACCGTATTGCGGCTCTTGAAGAGAGCCGGGGTTGCTAATCAGGAGTTTGCAGTACGTAGCAGATGCCGACGGACAAATCCGCAGTGGTTTCCGCTTCTTGCCAAGACAGGTACACACACATACACAAGAAGTGTGTGTGTGTGTGGGTGTGTGTATAATTACATAACTATACCCTAAACCCCAAAACACTAAAACCCCAGTGCAAGTACGTATGACCACACTTTTAGGCTCTTATCACGCTGCTCACAAAGTCCCTGAACCTCTAAGTATCTTGAAACCCTGTAGGACCCTTAAACACCCTTATAGAACCAAATGCAACCCTACGTACCAAGAGCCCTAAACCTCCGAAGTACTTGGAGGATCATGGGACTTACAGTAAGTAAGGCTATGATTGCCTTAATTGGGGTTATGGGTCATAAGTAGTTATAAGTATAGTTACCCGAATTATAACCCTGGTTACTAAGTCCCATGATCCTATAAGTAGGCGTCCTTTGCATGCAGGTCAAGGGACAGCGCCTCTACCAGTTAGCTTGGGGCCCCGGATTCTCTGCTAGGGGTACCTTAGTTTGGGGTCCTTATAATCAGGATCCTACTATTTGGGGGTATTTGGGGGTCCTTATAAGAAGGATCCTACTAATTGGGATACTATATTGGCCTGGTTGGGGCTTTAGTCAGGGGATTCGAAGTTTTCCTTGTTCTCTTTTGGTTTAGGATAGTTTGTATCCCTTGCAACATGGCCTTACAACCTGCCTACCATGTCTCGTGATTCTCAGGGGTTTGCAGCTATTGCGGTTGAGGTGGAATGTGCCGGCTGACAGTGACAAGATTTGAGGAGCAGGTTGGCTCTGCAGCCAAAACATACTCGAATGACGACAGGTTTGGTATTGAGTGCACCTAGCGGAGCTCAATCAAAGGTTGGTGTGGTATTGTTTTGTAGTTGTCATTTGTGGAGGGGTGGCAGGTTCGCCGCACGCAGCATTTGGCATCAAGTCTTTCCCTCCGCTTAGCAAGTTCCAATTTCAAACCATGGTGAGCCCGGCCATGCTAAAGGGCATGAACACCGAGGCCCTCACATGCTAAGCCTTGCTACTTAGAGGATCATGGGACTTAGTACTAGGGCTATAGTTAGGGTAACTCTACTTACAAGGCCAATTAGTGTACTAATAACCTTACTTGCTAAGTCCCATGATCCTCCAAGTAAGCCCATCTAAGCCCTAAGCCACCGACTCCTTGCTGTGTCGGGTCGACATGCAGTGAGGGACGAGGGTGGTGTCTTTGATAATGCAGACGTAGAGCCTCAGGAAGTCCCGGGCATTTTATCTACGGATCCTGAGAATACCGGTCCTACTACTCGGGCTCTATATGACTTGAGTATGCGTCGAAAGACATCATAGTGTTCTAGTCTAGTTTCTGTGGTCCCACGTAGCTGACAAAGGCCTGAGAATCTGCCGCAGGTGTACGGTGAAGGTCATCCCTTTGGCGATCCGTCGTGGTACCAGGCGTACAACACGCCCTATTACAACGACAGCCACAAGCAGTTCCGCAAGTTGATGCGAGAGTATGTCGACGAACATGTCATGTCCAACGTGCATGACTGGGACACTTGCCTTGGCCAGGTATCATGTATTTTCAGATGTTCGTTCAGCTGGAAGCGCCATATATTTAACAAAGATACTCACACCCAGACACCTGTAAAGACAGCGTGCCTAACCCACCAGCCAAGGACGAGAAGGGTGTCATTCCCAAGGAGATGCACCTTGTCAAGCTGTCAGAAGGTATACACGGCCAGCTTGGCTGTTGCCTCACCTGTAGATCAGGGAGCATCCTACATTAATTGCTAACAACAAAACTTACATCCTAACCCAGCACTCGTCCTTGCGAAGTAGAAAAGCACCAAACCTTTGGAAGCGCTAACTAGCTCTGAGGGAGGGAAGCTGAGAACGTCATTGTGGTTGATGCTAGTATCGGTCCTCAGCCACCGTTGCTCAGCATCCTTGCTGCTGTACCCGATGAGGTTTCGGTTCCAGCACGCAAGAGGCGACTGGATGTAACGGTCTCCCATACCCTAAACCCTAAACCGCGTATCGTAGCTCAACATCTCTCGGGATCCCTTTAGGCTTCCCGCTTGGAAGTGCATGCAGTGACGCACAGGGGACAGCACAAGGCCCATTTTCTCGCGGGCACCTGCAGCATGGAGAGAACGAGATTAAAGACACAGGGAAACCTGAACCCTAAACCCTAAACCCTAAACCCCTAAAGGGAACTCCAGAAAGTTGGACTATGGATTCATGGTAGGATCCCCTATAGTTTACCTTAAAGGGGTTACGATAACGATATTCCAACTTTCTGGCTTCTACTGTAAGCCCCTCAACGCCGACACTCTCGACTCTAGAACTGGGTTCTTGTTATAAGGGATTGGGTTTTAAGTTACCATAATAAGGAAAGCCGTTAAGGAAACCATCTTACTCACTAGAGATCCCTATTTTTTTAGTAACTTAAGCTAAATTCCTTAACAAGAACCCAGACAAGGTATCTGGAAGCCGGAAAGCAGGGGACCTTGGCCTTGTGCATCGGACGGCCTTGGCCAGAGAAGTACTACGGCAAGGCAAGGTTTTTTGGGGTTAGGGACAAGGGTTTTAGGGTGTAGCAGAGTGGGTTTTCAGATTGTGCTTCAGGGTTTTGGGCATGTTGCTCCAGATTGCCTTGCAATGCAGAGGCCCCATGGGGCTTCGAGCCGGACTATTTCCACGAGCTGATCATGCTTCTCGCAAGCATTCCCACTATCTCTTCAGCTCAGACTTTTGTGCTCACACGCCATTCTGAGTGCTCTCGCAAGTGAATTCGCGTGGAAAGCCAGGTACGACGAGATGTCGCGTACCGGCTCAGTTGGCTTTCAATGGGGCATCGCCGGAGGCACGACCATTGGCCTACCGCCGGTGTACCACCACGGCAGCGAGGAGTTAAAGCAGCGGGTGATGCCTCCATGCGTGAAGGGTGAGAAGGTGGGGGGTTTTCAGAATACTGGGTGTGCTCCTTTGAGTCCATACAGCCTTTCGAGAACACATTTCTGAATGCTCTATTAAAAGCTGTAATAGAAGTAGTAGCAATAGTAAAATAACAATAATACTAATTAATCCTAATAGTAACAATAATAGTAATGCTGGGTCGCTCGCTTGAAACTCCAAGGTCTGCTGCCTTGCCATCACCGAGCCTACCGCCGGCAGTGATGTGGCCAACTTGAAGTGCAGCGCCAAGCTGGAGGGCGACCACTACATTCTCAATGGCGAGATGCATTGCTGGGCAAGCAGCAGAAGTTGATTTTAAATTTTGGTAGCTTCGTTCGCAATCTCGCTTCTACCCCTGACCCTGCCGTTTACGAAGTCAGGAAGAAGTGGATCACCAACGGCATCTTCGCCGACTACTTCACTGTGGCGTGCCGCACCGGAAAGCCTGGTGTAGGTGGCATCAGCTTGCTGCTTGTGGAGAAGGACATGCCTGGTGTGGAGACGAGGAAGATGAAGTGCTCCGGTGCATGGTCTTCCGGCACCACCTACATCACCTTTGACGATGTCAAGGCTCGGTTCGTCACAAGGTGTAGTCGCATGATTCTTCCTCGGTTGAAGGCTTCTGTGGGGTTCCCGATTCCGAGCTGAGAGCATGAGAACCTTATGCTTGCGTTCTTGAACGGGCGTGGTTCAATGGCATGATGATGTTTTTCGATTCGGCAGTCCCTAAACCCTAAACCCTAAACTTTTTAATCAGGTGCCAAAGGGAAACCTGCTCGGCAAGGAGGGCAAGGGCTTCCAGTACCTTTATGTTTCTCAGGAACTTTTAGTTTTCTTCTACGATCTATCAAGAATAAACAATCAAACCTCAGCGTTAATCGGTCTTATGTGGTTCAACGGGTGTTAGAGGTACATGATGCAGAACTTCAACCACGAGCGTTTCGCCTTCTGCGCTATGAGCACGCGCTTCGCTAGGGTTTGCTTGGAAGACTCTTTGAAGTTCGCCGGCAAGCGCAAGACCTTCGGCAAGACTCTCATCCAGCACCCCGTGATTCGGTGGAAGGTGGCGGAAATGGCCCGCCAAATCGAAGCGACCCACAACTGGCTGGAGTGGATCACCTTCCAGCTGAACACCATGCCTAAGCTTGAGGCCATGCTGAAGCTCGGAGGGCATACGGCTCTGTGCAAGGTGCAGTGCACCAAGGCTGGCGATCCGAAGCACCCTACATCCTAAACCCCAGTCGTGAGTGCTCAGACCCCTAAACCTCAAAACGCTGGGATGATACGCACGAATCGAGAAGTGTACCAAGCCTAGAACCCCCCCCCCCCCCCCCCCCCGAAGCTTGGTTTTAGGTGTCGGGGGTGTAGGGTTTGCGGCCCAACCCCGCATCCTAAACCATCCAAAAACCCTAAAGACTAAACACCAAAAAAACCAGCAGGTCATGGAATACTGCGCACGAGAGGCCGCCCAAATCTTCGGAGGCTTGTCCTACTCGCGGGGTGGTCAAGGAGAGAAGGTGGGAGTCTCAAGAACATGGCGACCCTAATGTAGTGTCAAAACTGTAGGGGCCGAAATAATTAGAGTAGGGTTTTGGGTGTGCTTTATTACTAGGTAGCCTTTGGGTCATTTTATATTTTCCCTTATTGGGCTTAGTAGGATCCTATTTACGAATATTTGTCAGAGGCTTTGAAGGGCCAACCTAGATTATAATTTATGGTGTAATGATATGAACCCATACTACTTAACATCAAGTAGTCCCCTCCATTAACCCTGATAAAAGGGCAACTCTAGTTTTCAGAAGCCACTCCAGGTCGAACGATTGAACCGAGAAGTCCGAGCCATGGCGATTCCGGGAGGTCCTCCGCTTAGCCCGTGAAAGTTTGGGCGCTTAGATGGCCCACTAGGGTTTCGGAAAGGGAGTCCTCAAAAGGGATCATAGAAGTTCCATAAGGGACTTAAGTAAGGACTTAGGAGCAGAATTATGAGAATGAGGCTTGGGGGTGTATGATGCTATAACTGTAAGCAATGGCCGTAAGAAAATGTATTCCCAACAATTCATTCTTCAGTTCTCTGTATTTTCTTAAGAGTCCTCTTGACGAGGATCCTGCTACCTTGGATGATGCTAGGGTGATTTTCTTTCCGCCCTTGAAGCCCCAGACTGCGTGGCCTTTGAAACTAAGGTCAGTCGACGTGAGCAGGGATTGTCAAGCCCGAGCCTGAAACCTTAAAAAAACTAAAGCCCTGAACGAGAAACCTATCTTTGATAGGACAGTGTAGCATGCCCTTTGAATTGTTAAGCTGCTGCATATAAGGCAATGAGAAACATTCCGGGATGATTCTCTAGACGGGTCGTGTGAGAAAACCCAAAACCCTCAACCCCAAGCCCTACAAACTACCCGACTAAACAATAGTGTTTTATCATGGATTGAAGCGGGGATATAACATACTAGAATAGCAATTCCAGGCGGGTATAACATACCATAATAATAGTAATACCTTAAACTCTAAGCCCTAAGCTTTAAACTCTAAACCCTAAACTCTAAACCCTAAACTCTAAACCCTAAACCCTTCTCCTCATGGTTCCTAAAAGGGGCGCAAAAAAGCCAAGGCTCCGAGGAGATCATGCTCGACCTTGGCGTGAAGCAGTCGACGAAGCTCGCCCAGATGCTCGCCTCGGACTTATGGGGTCCTTTAAGGGTACCTTATTTGGGGTCCTTTAAGGGCTCCTGAAAGGGTTCTAAACGGGATCTATAAGGCTTATGGGGTCCTTATAGTAGGTTTAGGGTTTGGGAAGGTTTAGGGTTTAGGGATCCTAATATTTGGTGTACTATAGGGGTCCGGACTGAACCGTTTAGGGTTGGGTTTAGGGTTTAGGGGTCCTTCAAAAGGGTCCTATAAGATCCTATAAGGGTTACTATAAGGGGATTATGGGGTCCTTATAGGCTCCTTAAAGGGATCTATAAGGGTTCTATATAGGGTTTAAGGTTTAGGGTTTCCGAAAATTAGGGCTACCTTGTTTTGGGGTCCTTATAATAGGGATCCTACTATTCAGTGTGCTATGTAAGGGTCCCCCCATTTTCGGATGCTCGCTCGGACTTAATGAACGCAGCTTAAGTTAGCATCTATAGAAATCTATAGTTAAAAAATAGATAAACATAATAATAACAATAATAATAGGGTTAGAAAACCCTGTAATATAGGGATCCATCGTAAACAATGGGGTTTCCTTTTTGTGGTAATTTAAGAATCAAACTCCCTGGCAAGAGCCCAGGATGGCAAAGATGTTCGCTGAATCCGCACCCCAGCCGGCCGCTGCCAAGCTCTAGGAAGTCGGCATCCGGCCTGTGAATCCAACCCACGGCGCGATGAGCCGGAAAGGGGGGGGAGGGCATCCGACATCCAGGCTTGCATATGCAAGTCTGTGCAGAAGGGTCGGGGGAGGGGTACTTACTTAGCATGTAGATTTCGCGCCCAAGTGGGCATAACTCTTTGAACGTCCCGTCGGGGGAACCTACTGGAGCTCTGCCAGCCTGTCATCAGTTAATTGTCATTCAATTCAGTCTTATCATCACAAGGAACCCTTCCAAGGAAGCCCTTACAGATCCCTTATAGCAGCCCGTATACACCCCTCGAAGGGAACCCTAAACCCTTCCTGGTCTTCAGCAGCACTTTGACATGCAGCCAAGGAGGTCCGAAGTCTCTTGGACAGTAGGCCAGTAGGCAATCAGCATCATCCTCATGTTGTCCGAAGTGCCAATGCCAGTGAGAAGAGGCTTTGCATTCGCCATCGTAACACTAAGTTTAAGTCCTAAGCCCTAAAGCCTGTCCGTTACCCTTTAACAGAAAAACCCTAAACCTTTCTTGCCGAGTAGGAGGGAAATAACCGTAAACCCTAAGCCGTAAGCCCCACACCAAAAAGCCTACACCATATTGTCTACTATAGATCCTTAAAATGGTAACTTAAACCAAAAGGGTAAGCCGTGATGACAGCAGCCACAGCCCAGACGGCGCCTCGGCAGCGAGATTTCCTTTCTGCGTGGCCTTACGCCAAAAAGCCGTGCTTCACTGGGCGAAACTTTCTTTTGTTGGTGCGCGCTAGAAGTTGAAGGGTAGGAATGCGTGAGCACAGAAATGATGATGATGATGCTGTTGTTGATGATGATGATGATGATGAGCAGGAGAAGGATCGGGTTTGAAAGATGCTTGATGCTCAAGAAGATCACGTGCTGACCATGGCCACGATTGCCGGCTCCTCCTCCTCCTCCTCCTCCTGTCCCTACTCCTGTTCCGGCTCCTGCTCCTAACTAGTACCAGCAATAGTAATAGCAATAGCAACAGTACATTGTGCCGGGGATTGACGGCCGCTGTTTCTGAGTTAAGATTTTGCTAACTTTGCCCACCTTGTCCATCTTGGTTCCCAAGTGGCGCAAGTGGTTTTTGGTCAAGATGCAAGTTGCCCCCCCTCCCCCCCAAGTAGTGCAAGTGGTTTTGGTCAAGATGGGCGCAAGCTTGCGTGCCATCTTGCCGCCCCCACACTCCTAGAAAACAAGATGAGCAAGTTTGCCGCACAAACTTGTTTAAATATCGGCATTCGTTTCCGGGCACAATACGAGTACTAGCAAGTACTAGTAGTAGTACTAGTACCACCACCGCCACCACCACTGCCACCACTGCCACCACCACCGTGTTTGTAACTATTACTTCGACAGCCGCATACATAATTGTATCAACCTCCATCACTAAGCGACAGCTGTCTGGAGGGGAGAGCAAGAGTTGTTTGATAAGAGTAACGAGAAGAATAGTCGCAACATGTGGTATCATAGTGGTGCGCCAGCAATCAACTTCGAGGCACAGATCTTGGTATTGTAGTCAGGGATTGGATTTGAACGGGATCCAGAAGAAGAGTTCGAATTCGGATTCCAAGAACGAATTTCGAGCTGAGGGGTATCCCCCTCCCTCTCAATCATCGCGACGCGCGCAGCGGACGGATACAGAGAGCGAGAGAGGGAGGACACAAACTGCGAGGCAGAAGAACAGAAAACACTAAGCCACGTCGAGTCGGCCATGCACATCGGCCCACCCGGCCCGTAGCTTCGAATGCAGCCACAGGCACAGGCCGGCAAAGAGGTCGTCCGGAAGCCGCGCGAGGTGCGAAGGGCGCACGACGGCGGACATGAAAGCGAGCGGCGAGACATCGAGATAGATAGGTACGTTCGTGGGTCTGGGGTTTCTACTGGTATCTCTGTGTGGACGGACTTGGGGGTTCGGTTTGGGTTGTTAGTTTGTTTAGCAAGGGCTGGCGTTTCTTCTTCCCGGGTGCGGCTAGCAGGCTGGTACGGGAGGCCCATAGCGACCAGCTTGGTGAGGTCTTGGGTGCATCTGGTTTCAGTATGAGAAAGAGAGGGCTGAACAACCAAGAACTGATATCATTTCCATGTGGTCCTTATGTAATGTTACGTAATGATTACCCATAGGCTCCATAGTAGTTCCTTTTTGGGATCACCTTATAGGATTCTATACAGGAACCCCAAAAAGGAACTACTATGGAGCCTCTGGGTAAGGCCCCTGCATTATGCTACAATCCTAAGGCTGACATGTCGCGTGGACGACAGCACTGGCCTTGGTCAGTGGAAGTTGGTCCCGACGAGATACAGCGTCTTCAATTCGGACCCCGTGTTAGCTTCGTTTTTTGGTGAGACGGCTTTAAGCTTTATCCGTAAACCCCAACAGGACCTTTAACAGCCCTATAAACCCTAAAGCTTAACCCTAAAGCCCTTCTCCGGCGCAGCGTCCGAGTGGCTCTGGATGGAGGGGGGCCACAAGCTGCCCTGGGGCTGAAGCCAAGGCCTCGGAAGGGTCGAAACCGAATAGATCAGACTCATGTGGGAGTTTCCGAAAACTAGGGGACCCTAGTATAGTACCCTAAATAGTAGGATCCTTATGATAAGGACCCCCAAGAGAAGGTACCCTACCTTTCGGAAACTCCCATGTAGGGACCTGATTAAGAGACCGGGATACTATATGGGTTCCTGAACAGGGCTCTATAGGGGTTTAGAGTTTACAGGCTAGGCTTTAAATGGGCGTAGAGAGGACGGGTGTTTTCTTTGCTGTTGCTGCTCCTCTTCTTCTGTGCTGCAGTGTAGCAGCTGTAGCAAAAGCCACCTCAAACCAGGAAATGAGTGAACAGCCGCTGCCTGCACTAACAGCACCTCCAACACAAAACACTTCCCCGCACCGCAAAACCAACACACCTCCCGCAGCAACAGCAACCCGCCCAAACAAAAAGCTAGAACAACGACCCTCCGAAGACAGACTTACACGAACAACATCCCTTCCCGCCGCAGCTGCAAGACAATGACACCTCTAATGCGGCAATAACAAGAAAACACGGCACCCGGCAGCAACGGCAAAAGCAAATGCACACCCTGGCCACAACCGAACATAAGCCTCATTCGCTCCAGGACCCTCCTGATACCCCTTACAGGGGCTATGTGGCCCCGAATAGCGGGTAACTGAAGGCAGCAGAGATATAGGGTCAAGGTACAGTAACTTCCTTGGGAAGGATCGCCACTGATTGAAAGTTGTGAGATCACATGGAAGACGTTCGCTTGGAATTGCAACCATGCCGGTGGAGCCCTGCTTAGTTTAGGATTTAGGGTACCGTCGCAGCACCACTCCGAAAAGTTCGGTTCGCATACATGAAAGCATGCACTGACATGCAATTCACGGTCACATTGGTCTGGCCCAAAGCATTAAAGCGTACTTTCGCGACTGTGTAGTATGCACCTCATTGGTCAACCCTCGTTCTTACAGGAACCTACGATGAGGATCCCCCATCGTTGCTTAGGGATCCAGCTGTATGAACCCGATCCAAAGCCCTCAGTCCTAAGCGTAGAAGCTTTGTCAGAATCCTTCAAGAAAATCCGCTCTGGCTATGTAGGCCCCTTGCTTTTCCATCTTCGTTGTGACATTCCTCGATCTACCGTAAACCAACCCTGCACCACAAACCTTCAGTAAACTAAGCTCTTCCTACCGTAAACCAACCCTTAAACCTATAAGCCTTAGGACCTAAGCCTTTCCTAGGTCTCCAAATCGGTCGCCCAGCATGGAGGAGGCCGACTGCTTGGAGATGCCAGGGCAGCCAGGCTGAAATACATTTTTTCGTGCCGTAGGTATACAGTGATATGATGACATATACAGATAGCAGGACTACATGATGCATGTATGTTTGTGTATGCGTGTGTGTGTGTGTGTGTGTGTGTGTGTGTGTGCGTGTGTGTGTACGTATGTACGCATGCACATGTGTGCGTACCTGCCTGTGTTAATATATGTGTGCATATATACGTGTATGTGTACGTCTGGGGGAGGGAGACAAGGCCGAACAGGAAGACCACCCGCGCGAGGGTGACACCATGTGGTGGGGGCAGGGGCGGGGCGGCAGCCCTGCATCACATTCACATATGCATAGAAATGCATATATATATATATATATATACATATACACACTGTGTATACATATATATATATATATAGAGAGAGAGAGAGATATATGAATACGGGTTAAATTTATAAGTTCAATAAAAAGTCTCTGGGCCCTCAACTTCAATTAGAACCGTCATTTCTAGGGATTTAGGGATCTAGGGATTTCTACACGCCGAAACCGGAAACCCTTGAAGCTGCAAAGCCTGAACCCAAATTCGAAGAATCATCTTGGTTCCCCAATACCCAACCTTTAATCTTTTTGGGTTCTTATAGTTTAGTAGTAGCCGGAAGAGTTTAACCTTTTATTTCTGTGACTTATTGCGGAAGTAAGTCATTTGGAGACCCCGAGACCCGGCAGTGCGTTGCTGTGACTTTGAGCTTTGGCTTATGCTCTGATTCCGAAAACTTAAAATAAGCTTCGATCAAATCCGAAATCCTAAACTTTGGGTACTGCCACCACTCTGTAACAGTTGGATGTGATTTATATTACAATTCTGTCCGGCCCTTGATACATATGACCCCCTAACATAAACTGTCGGCAGCACCAAACCCAACCTTTTTGACCATAGAAAGCCAAAAATCGGCTTAGGGTTTAGGGTTTTGGGTTTAGGGGTTTAGGGCTTAGGGTTTGGATTTTTAGGGTGTAGGGTTCAGTGAGGATCTGGCTAGTCCCCAAGCCCAGTTGCCAAAGGGTTCAAAGATTCGGGTCGGGGCATATGAGAGTTTCCGACAATTAGGGGTATCCTATTTTGGTGTCCCTATATTAAAGGATCCTTTTTTGGTACTATTACTATATTAGGGTCCCCTATTTTTCGGAAACTCCCAATATGACTCCTCATATAGA